CATGGCTGTTCTACTGTCTTGTATTTGTTTGGTGAAAGAAACTGTCAATGAGTCCTTGGTTGATAAGCATTGCATGTCTATATCTGTTTTCATGAGAAACCACTTTGAAGATATCAATATGTAATACAACAAGCATTGTTCATTCCCTACCACTTTGTTTGTAACTCCGTACTGTCTGTACTGTTCCTTTGCTATTTTGTAAAATGTTGTCTGTCTGTTAATATTTTCCTCTTTCTATTTTTAAAATTAAAAAAAGTACAAACATAAAAATTCAGACAAAATTCAAGAGTCCTAAAAAATTGTGTATATATTTATCTTGATTAAAAATAAGCAGCAGGTAAAAAATATAGAATACTAAAAATTTTCATCAGCTCTAAAATCGACAGGAAAATAGATCTGAGTGTGGTGGTGCATGCCTACAATCCCAGGTCTGAAAATCACTGGCCCTGTGGGTAGCTCCTTTCCCTGTTTGAGTGTGGCTTGAATTCCATCTCTTGATTACTATAATGTATGTCCTGTGGGTTGACCTGCCTGTCTGGTTAACTTCCCCGAGCCTCACAGGCCCAGATGTGTAGTAAGTATCTACTATAAATATGTCTATCAGTCAATATTTGTTGAAGCCAAGGGAACAGCCAACAGGACAAAGAGAAAACCTGCAGAAGGAGATAAGCTGTGTGCAAACTAAACATCTGAAAAATGCTACTAACCAGAATGCATGAGAACCAACTCTACAGCAAAAACACACCCCAATTCTTTAAATAGACATTTAATAGACAAACATTTTAAATAGACAAACATTTTTTAAATGTTTGTAGTAAGGATTTCTAAAAAGAAAACCTATAAATAGTACACAGATATGTGAAAAATGCCTACTATAACTAATCCTCAGGGAAAAGTAAAAACTTCAGTGACCACTGATGCCATCATAGCTTTTACCAAAAAGATAAACAGCAGGTGCTGGCCGGGTGTGCAGAAGGAGCCCTTGCTCACGTGGATTCCACCACCAGTGGGTAGGGCCACCACAGAAAATACCATGGCGCTCCCTCAAAAAAGTTAAAACAGAGCTACCCCAGGGTCCAGCAGTCTCACTGCTCCTAACTCAAAGTGCCAGAACCTTTACATTTTGGATTGCTAGGGAACTACTGAACTATTAATTGTTGTAATTGAATCCTTAAGTGTGTCCTTAAGGATTAATTGTTGTAATTGAATAAACTATTAATTGTTGTAATTGAATCCTTAAGCGTGTCCTTCTTATATGGTAGCAAATTGTGTGTCCTTTCTGATAAAGTATTCTTTCTCAAAGTTGAAAACTGGTTACTGCGTTTCTGGTATTTGTCTTTAATGTTCCAATTGAAAACTGGGCAGGGCATGGTGGCACATGTCTGTAATTCAGCACTCAGGAGGCTGAGGCAGGAGGATTGTGATGAGTTTGAAGCCAGCCTGCACTGCATAGTGAAAGCCTGTCTCAAAAAAAAAAATAAAAACAAAAAGAAAAAAGAAAAGAAAATTAGGATTGCTCTTCTAATTATGACCAATTCTGTATATTTAAAACCTACCTCTCTTGTTTTCAAAAGAATTTGAAAAAATACCTATACTGGTACCAAGATGACACAACGAAATAAACTCAGTCAGTTGAAAACTCCAGAAATAATACCTAAATGAAATATGCACATCAAAAACACACCTGCACACACATTTACTGCATTCCTACTCACAACAGCCAGGATACAGAGTAAACCTACACGACCATCCATCATTGTATGAATGACAAAGGAAAACACGGTAAATATACACTGTTCAGCCAAAAAGCACGAGACTCTGGTATTTGGGACAATCTGCATAGACCTGAGAAACATTATGTTACGTGAAATTATTGGAGGCCAGAAAGGTACAAGGGGAAGATCTCTGTCCTAAGTGGAATCTACTAAGCATGGTGATCACAGGAGCAGGAGGCAGAAATGGCTGGCAGAGACTAAGGAGAGATACGGGGACGGGCGGGGCGGGGTCGATGAAATTGTCTGATAGGAAAAACATTTCCCACGTTCTGTGGCACAGCAGGGCAAATATAACTAACTGCATGACATAATATATCTCAAAACAGTAAGACAGGAGACTGAATGTGCTCATTATAAGAAACAACATGAGTTCAAAGGGAGAGATACACTCATTATTGAGTTGATCACTATCTAAAGCACATGGAAATCAAAACATCACACTGTACCTCATAAATATGTACAAAAGTCACTTGTCAATTAAAAAACAAAAAATAAAATGAAAGACTGTCTAAAATTTAGTAGCTTAAAATATTGCTTTTGTTACCAACATGCCCATTCAATGTTGGCTAAACAAACCAATGATATAAATTACCCACATATTTCTTAACTTAATTCTAATTATATTTAATATAATACAGGTTGTTTACAAGTTCAACAAACAAACCAGAAAATACATAGTTTAAAATTCATACCTTATTTTTGACACATCTAAATTGTCTATTAAAAGACTTAAACCATATACAACAAAACAGATTTCAAGTACAGTATATCTATTTGTGGGTCCTCTGCTAAAGTATAATTTTTAATATTAACAATTGCTTATTAGGTCTCTGTTTCACTACTTATAAATAGTTGTCTATAATGTTTCAATTGAAAATTAGAATTGCTCTTCTAGTTATGAGCAATTCTGTATATTTAAAACTTACTTCAGACACACAGTGTTCCATTTGTAAAAGAAATTGAAAATAAGTACTTATTTTAATTCCAAGAAAGAAAATGATATAAGGCTGACTCAAAAAGAAAAATAAAACAATTATTTTCAATACAAGAAGAACCACATGCTCTTTGAAACTGAAGAGTTATAATAGGTAACTGAGAAAATAGAAACGTAAAATTTTATCCTAACAAATGAAAATGGCTATATGAAACATTTACATATTTAATTACATTAATTAATAATTTAGCAGCATTCTAATAATCTAAAATATAAGGGTTATGTCCACTTGGCTTAAAGAACAATGAAATAAATTCTGCAATTACAAATACAGAAATAATACTTATGATAAAACTATCAGACTAAAGCCCCATTAGCCTTCGTCATTTCTCACTTGGACAGTTCCACATTACAAGTTACAACGGTCAGTTACAGTATCCTAAGCTATGGTTTGAGATGAGGCTAAACCACAAATTCCACAAGCAGCTGTAGGATACCAACACACAAGTTCTCAGTCTCGTAGGCTGGCTTTCAAACGGCTTTGAACTCAACCCACAGTGAGAAATAGCTTTTACTTTGCAACCCTTTGTATATGCACCTAACCCTGGACACTGAACCTAGCTGAAACAAGTGTTACCAGTTCCTACCTGCTACTTGGAATAGCACTTGGTATTCTGCTATTTTTTAAATGCTGGTTGGTAACATATACACTGTTTATTAACTGCTAAATTAATTTCCTAATTTGCTACTGGCTTGGACCTTGCATTAGTTTAGAAAGTCTTAAGATTCAGTAAATGATATTAAACATATACATACTTTGATTGTCTCAGAACCCAGCAATGTCTGCAGTGGAGACCTTGAAGGAGAATCAGAAGAATGCTGGGGGACAGGGAGAGAAGGAAGAAAAGAAAAGACAGTCCTGAGAGGCATCATACCACAAAGCGGGAAATGAAGAGAAGCAAAGCCAATGTTTGCGCAGCACATTCTAGTCTAGGGCATTACCATAGACAAGGAATCCTGCAAGACCTTATCAATGGTAGCACAGACCTCTTCGGTTTGCCGCCTGAGCTGTGCAGGGAAGCACAACTGGAAGAAGCAAAACCAGGAAGTGAGTCAGCGCTGAGTTTCTGATTGCAAACCAAAGCAGGTGATGAGAGTCATTACCTCCAGGGGAAGGTCTACGGAGCTGTCCCGGGAGACACGTTCAGCCGGGGATGGCTCGTCTAGTGCCTAGCGACAAACAGAACAGCCCTCATATGAGACTTCAGTCAAGCACCGGTGCAGGCAGAAAGTCTTTTCAAAGAAAGCCCTGCGTTTCTCAGACTTTCTAAGACAAAACAAAACAAAAAATCTTTGACTCACTTGATGAGCTACTGTCTAACATTACGTCACTTTCCATACTTGTCCAGGGTCTCCTGTCAAGGTAGTATTTCTAATATGCGGTGTTACAATAAAGACTGTACATGGCTTTTGCTCTACTTTTGCCCTGCCTTTTGTATGTTTTTTCTTGACCTTTTGAATTTCAGTGAATTGAAGGAGTTTTCTCCTTATGTATTTTCACCTACTAATTCGCATGTGGCAGAAGTAATGTTGGGTGTTCCACCAGGTTCTGTGCTCTCTTGATACGATTAGCCAGCATTTTCTCATGCTCGGGAATTTAGGTGCAAGCCTATGACTGATTTCTGTTTATTTTATTATTATGGTTTTTGGTACCAGCAATCAAACCTGGGTCCGTGCACTTGCCAGGCAGGTGCTTGTGCTGCTGAGCTAAATCCCCAGCTCTGATTCCCCTAATGCAAGCAGAAGCGATGCGTGGCTTCCGGTGCGACGCAGCTGAGAGCGGATGTGATGTTTCACCGTCCCTACTCCGTCTCCAGAGAACGGATGCGAGGCGCAAGAGCTCACACGGCCTAGTCACCGTCAGAGGGTAGCCCTGGGGGACGGCCAGCGCGGCTGCACCGAAGAGGACGTGGAAGGCAACAAACGACCGTGGTAAGTCACAGTAACGGCAGCTCGTGTTGCTTACACTCACTGTGTCACCATGGGGTGTATTTTCTTAAGAAATTAGCCCTGGAACTTTCCTCTCTTGTTAAGACCTAACTCGAGCAATACAAAATTCTGCAACATTTCACATAACATGTACGAATCTTACAGGCTCAATTCACCCTCTCTTCCACCCTCCTATTACCACGTGCATTCAGTGGAAGTGTGCTGCGCACACAGTCGTGCTGTACCTTCTCCCTTGAAAGGTTTTTAAAATGGTTATGTACATTTGAAAGAAGTTTTAATGAAGTAATATTTCATATTCATCCTGAATATAAAATACATTCATCACTGAACAGTTTGCATGCAGCGGCCACGTCCCACGCTCTGCGCTCGTCCGAGTTTCCAGCTGCCACTATTTGCCTCCAGCCTGGCCAACTTCCTTCAGCATGTTTTGTAGCGGAAGTCTGCGCTCCGGGACTTCCGTTTTCTCCTAGCTGAACACTTACCGGGTCTTTCCTCTTGCAGGGACGCAGCATTCTCTTCCCGCCTCTGGGCACTAGAGGTCGCCCTGCAGGGCTCCAGCTCCGTGTTGCTGGTGAGTTCGCCTCCCGGTTCTGCTGTTGGTCTCGCGAGGTCTTTGCTTCGCCCCGCCCACTTTCAAGACTGTCTCTTCATATTGATTTTCAGCAGCCGGGCTGCCGCGTGCTTGGGCACGGTTATCTTCATATTGAAACTACTTGGGATTCATTGAGCCTCTTCAAAATACACATTTATATCTTTCTCCAAATTGGGCTAAGATTACCAATTATAATTTTTGTTTTATTCCGTCCTCTTCTTCCAAATCCCTGATTACATCTGATTGGATCCCATGGATCACTGGAGCTCTGGTCAATTATTCAATCTTCTCCCTCCTGTTTTTCACATGAGGTAATTTTTATCACACTAACTTCAATTTTACCGACTCTTCTGTGTCTCCAGGTTTCTTTCTCTTGAAGCCAATCCACAAGAGGGATTTTTCTATTTTCAATATTTTATTTTCAGTGGTAGAAGTTTCATTTCATTCTAAGTTAAAAGTTCTAGTTTTGTACTAAGAATTCCTATACTTCAATTCATTATGAACGTTTTTCTTTATACCTTTGAGAATATAACAATAGCTTTAAAATTCTGGCCAGATAAAAAATGGATGCAACTAGAAACCACACTCATACATGAAGTAAATCAGACCCGCATGTGTAAATATCATATTGTCTCCCTAGTGTGAGTAACTGAAAAAGTAAATAAGATCCAAAGGGTACAACAGACATTGTGAAAGGGAAGGAAACTGCTCAAAAGGAAAGGACAACTGGGATACGGGAAAAGGGAAAAGGAATGGGGGGGGAGATATGCATATACTCACAAGATAGCTAAGATAACTGTACTAGTAATTTCTATTAGTTCATTGAAAGAAGACATTAGTGCTTGTATTGTTTTATCAGTTTTGCATGCCTGTACCTGGTAATCTGAGCAACTACTCTGAGGATAACAATATGCCATATAACAACCAATGTTAATTTCCTACCATCTTGTTTTGAAATTCTGTATGGTTTCTATTGGGGTCTTTTTTGGTCTCTTTTTTGTCTATTTAAACTAAAATTTAAAAATTCTTGCCAGATGATTGAAAACATTTGAAACACCTTAAAGTTGATCTTAATGAATTAATTTTCCACTGTATCTGGGTGATACTGTTCCGTTTCTTTGAATGCCTAGAAATGATGGATTAGAGATTTAGTGATATGTTATAAGGACTCCAGATTCTGTTATTGTGCCATCGGGAATATCATTTTTTATTTCATTTTAACACGCAGTTAATTTGGCTCCGAGCTCTCTGTCTCTCTGACAATGAGCAGCGGCTCAAAGAGCTGTTTACTTATTTTACTGCAAAATAAGCTGGTCATGTATAAGCTACTTCATTTGTAGAAACAGAATGACAAGAAACTATTTAATTTAATTAGTTTTAATTTTCAGCATATAAACTTCTTACCAGAGAGACTGTAGAAATTCAGTTTTCAAGCCCGTCAGAGGAAACTTACAGTTCACAGTTATTTTCTTCCTACACTGAGCCCAGGTTGACATTAAAAAATGTGCTTTGCATTTCCCTTGCAAATGATGCTTCTCACCCGCTTGTACTCAAGAGTGCACCCTTAGAGGTCCTGGCTTTGCTGATGGGGCACAATTTCAGGTCTCCATCTGGCTCAGCCCCGCTCTATCTCTGCCCTTGCCTAGCTGGTAGAAACGCCAAGACCCATGGTCAGTGAGTTCAGTACTTTCAGAACAACCAGCACATTACCATCTAGACAAACATTCATCCAGCCTCTGTTCCTGCCTTCCACCTCTCCCCACCTGGGCTGCTATTTGACACAAAGAGCCACCTGAGATCTCGGAACGGCTGGTGATTGTCTGACACCACGCACTACCCACTCTTAGATTTCAGTCGCTTACAGGAGTCCTATTCTCCTGAAGGTCCGAATCAGACCCCTGTGCAGTGGCTCTCCTGACCCTTACGGGCAGTGTGGCTACTCCCTGACTGGGGCAACACACCACCTGCCACACCTGAGCATACTGGGACATGATTACTTTGCACACTGTGTTCCTGCCGTCCTGGAGCACCGGTCCTTCTGGCCAGGGCCATATGGCCTTTGCCCGTGGAGCCCCGAAGAGAGGATATGAGGGGCTCAGCAGAAATCTACAGGACAGGGATAAATGCAGTTAAATAAATAAATGCATCACAGAAATAATTTTATTTTAGTGCTCCCCAGTGAAATACTCTCAAAAAGTAGTTTAAACTCTGAATATTTTAAGTAACATTTCATTTTCCTATATTACAATTAATTTTTTATCAAAGACCTTACCATGTGACCAGTGCTAATGTAATGAGTTGATTTTTTCAGCAAAAAACAAATAAGGTTGATATTTTAGATGCCAATGGAAAATATCAGAGCCAAAAACAGCTTTCATTAGGTTATTTGAATGACTGAACTTCACTCAAAGAAAAAATTATCTACTTGGGTCCCCTGAAAACATAAAGAAAATAGCTTGTGTCAAGTAATAATCTTGAAACTTTAAATTCAACAAGTATTCAGTCTGTTAAAATTCTGTGGTGGGGGAGTGGCTTATTTTGAGCTAAATAGCCTTGAAATTTCCTAGAACTAGTTTTTAGTTGCCTGGAAGTTATTGTCAAATGTATCATCTTGACTCACTTGTCTAACCGCCATAAGAAGTAGCTTCTTTTTGTGTTGTCAAAAAAGTTTGTTTTAAGAAAATATTTTAAATCACCATTTACAGGGGCTGGGGATTTAGCTCAGCGGCAAAAGCGCCTGCCTGGCAAGCGCAAGGTCGTGAGTTTGGTTCCCGGTACAGGAGAAAAAAAAACAAAACAAAAAAAACCCAAAAATAAATAAATAAATAAATAAATCACCATCTACAAGAAGTCTGACCAGGGTTCGTGTTTTGTGACAAGTGACCTAGTAGTATTTTGTTAAAGTTTCTTTAGATTTATTCATTGTGGATATAAGTCTCTCAAAATATTCTCCATTAAAGTATTTTTATTAGAGACATATTTTCCATCAAATTGTACTACAGCAATTGAGGCATCGGATATTTTTAATCGTAAAGATTCTTAATCAATATGAGTTATCAGAGTATTCTCATTGGAGATGTTTATACTTTACATAGAACAGCCAACCTTTTGAGCCCCAGATTTTAGAAAGGGACTTACTAGATCTACTTTGCACACAAAGTGGTTTCTGAATTCCGCACTGATTATAATTAAGTGCTGATCACTATGAAAAAGCTTTGCAAATCATATTTTCATCCTTATAAGAAAACATGCCACTCAACTGCGATAGGTGTTCCCCACCTAACAGGAGCACCGCTGATGAGACTGTATTTTCAGTAAAATGTATCAAGTCAATCTAAATAGCTCCCTTAGGGAATGGGATTAACTTCTAAAAATCTGAAGATGAAATGAATTGTCCTACCCTAAAAGGAGTGATACAGTAAACTGCCTCCAAAAGGAGGCTGATCTAAAAGCACTCACAAACTCTGTTATGCCTGGCCTCACTATTGAAATCAATTTCAAACATTTCATGCATGAGTTGCCATATTTAAGGAATGATCAAATGAACCCCGTACAATGATCCATGCTAAGCCTAAATGTCCCCACACGTTTTAATCTGAGCAGCCATTTGGTGTGATAAATTCCCCGGGGACTGCAGAACACTCACTTCAGGAATACAAAACCGTTTGTGGGATTGGAAACACTCTCAGAAAAGTAATCTTACTCTCAGGTAATCCATCCGCTGATTGAGGTCCAAATAGAACTCAGCTCTTCAATCCAGAAAGTAAGTCAAGGATGCGTGCAGATTTTTAAAAGTACAGCTTCTTTAAAGATCTAAGAATTTTCCAGTAGATTATTTTCATATGACTGACTTAAAACTTGCAAGAATTTAGGAACCCTGCCTGACATTTTTAGTTCCAACAGTTTTGGACAATTAAATGCCTACTCCTTTGGCACAGAAGGGAGTTTTGTTTCTTATTTTTTCAACTATTACAACTGGTTCCAAACCTACTCCATCAAGGTCTCATGCAGGAGAACCTGAATATGTCTTCACGTAATTCAGGGTGTCAGAAGGGTGTTCCTCATCTCCAGCTGGCGCCTCAGCTCTGTCAGTAGCTCTGGGCTGTAATTCCCGGCTCCTTCAAGTCTGACCACAGCGAAACTATCTCCAGTCCCCTTTAACTGTTGCTCATAACAAGAAAGTGCTTCTGTCACTCTAATGTGAAGAGGATTTAAACACACTTCAGCAAGGAACGATATACAGTGTTGCACAGAAGGAGCCGCATGCTCGTCCTGGTATCCAGCATTGCCTTTCACCCTCCGATGTCGCTGAGGAGGAGTTGCCGCAGCCTGCTGCAGAGCTCCGGACGCTGCGGACATCACAGCTGCTGAGACGCCGAGGCTGCGGCTGGCGTCCCCACGAGTGGCCTGATCACCATGGGCCCATGTCTGAAACCCACAGACTTCCCCCCAGCTGAGGCCTGTGATCGATTCTCAACAGAAGTAAAATTGATGAGGCTTATAAAATAATCCTTGTTATTACTACTTCAACGGCCATTTTATTTTTACAGTTCTATGAGTAAAAATTTACTTTAAGATGCTGATGGGTGAAATTGGAAATCTGAAGACCCACCCAGCCCCAAACTAAACTGACTCATCCAATGAACTTTTAATTTAAAACTGCTGCATTCCCTGAAAGGTTTGTGGTAGAGAAAAGGATCAATAACGTCTGTATGAGGAAATGCCACGTGGTAAGGGGTTTAAGAGATCTGCACTTAGCACCAGAGAATTAGCAGTTCATCCAGATTTGAGTCCTGGACATGTTTTCAGGGCCAAAAAACATGGGGAACATGTTTGTTTGCCTATTGTACTAATCTAAATTAAGTGCTGTCCCTCCAGGGTAGACCATGTGTGGGTTTTATAAATTTTTGAGACATGCAGAGATCTTAAAATATTCTCACCCAAGGACATATGTTTAATCAGATTGGAGTTTAGCAACTCATGCTTTAAAAAGTTAAACAGATAACTTGGAATAAATTGATTTGACAAGTGACAGGATATATCAAATTTTTGCTTTCTATTTTTATACCATAATTTTTACTAAGTCTTCAAAATAGCTGTTCTTTATCTTCCTTCCTACTGTGGGGGATATCCCTTAACTTCCACTTAATTAATCTTATAATATTTATTCCATATGTATAAAATCATGCTGCTCTAGAATTGTTCTGTCAAAGATACATATGCTTATAAATGAAATCTACCTTGAAATGGCTAATGAAAATGAAATTTATTGAGGAAAATTATACCTCACCCTAAACTAGATTTTATCCTGATGAACACATGTAAGGAAAGGCATAGAAAACTGGAATTACTTTTAAGGGAAAAAAATGATTCTCTCATGGAAAAATATTAATTACTTTTATAAGGCAATAAAAATGCATGTTACTTAAACGCACGGTGTAAATATCCTTTCCTTCATCCTGTCCTTAAAACAATCACACAACAAAAATAGCAAACTATTTACCTGCATTATTAACGTGCACCCTCAGTTTAATTGTAACTTTTTACCTATTGCTGTCAGACTCTGACAAAAAGAAAAATTAATAAAGGAGGGAACTTTAACATTCTCTGAAGTAGACAACACTGCCAGCATTAAGACTAAAAATAATGTCTGCATCGAAGTTACTGTGTGTACAAAGCTCAGTACGCTGAGGAACACACTGCAGCGGCGGCCGTTGAGAAGCACAGACACCACGTGATCCGTGCTTTATAGTCACTGGTACTTAATCCTCGCAGCGATGAGAGAGGATTTTGGCAAGAGCTGAACCTGAGGACCTGAATGTCAACACATTAAAATGCGAGGCCTTCCATTTCTCTCTCCCTGTAAGGCCTTAGTTAAGACCTATGGCAAAAATGCTTCTTTCAATAAATGCTCACAGGGAAATAATGATAGAATATGGAATAATCTATAAATTTAAGTTTGGATGCAGACAATGACCTTCTGCTCTTACAGAGCAGAAGACCCAAAGCCCTGTGGCCCCAGCCAACCAGATGCATTCTTTTGAAAATAATGAGTTTCATCCAGGGGTGACTAAAGCTGAAACCAATTCCGTAATTTAATGATAGCTTCCTGTCTCTCTGCATGCTCTACCTGTATTTCAATTTGCCGAGAATTTTCTTTTAAAATCTTGCTTCTTTTCAAGAAGTAATTCCAGCTTCTTGTTAATTATACAATATACTATGGAACAAAATGCGGTGTTAAATATCTAGTATGGTTATAATCTAGCGGGCAAATTAATTGTTTAAATATTTAAGATGCGAATTATATATGTGAGTTCTATCTTCCAGGCATTCTGCTGCACGAACCCTAAGGATTATGAGACTACAATATCATCCTGCCCCATGTTTATGTTCTGTGTGATGTCAAAGGAATCTCAGAAAAGCTTCTGAGATTGAAAATATTCCAAAACAGTGATTCTCCCCAAAAGAGATTAATTTCTGAAGATTACAGTCCTAATTTTGCCATTCAATTCAAAAATAACTGCCTTTGGTTTCAGTGGCATAGAATAAATTCTACTGTAGAAACGGATAAAACAACTAAGTTGGCAGATTCATTTTCAAAACATCACTCAAAGGAGTAGCACAGCATCATTAATAAATGCTATTGAAAATGGAAGTGAACACAAAATCTTTAGGTTTGTATTACTTAAAAATTTTTAGGAAGTAAAATTTCTGACTGTGGGACACATACCATGGAAAAGCTTTGTAAAAAATATGTAAAACTATACAAAGAATCTGAAAAGGAAAAAATATTCACACTGTATCTTGTTACCTATGAGTAATTCAAATATTTACAGTTCTAAAACAATTTACCTTGTCCAAAAAGACAATTACTTGCATGAGTGTTTATGCAATACTCCCTTGCCCCTTACCATGATATTATTTTCAATTAGATATCATGATATTTATATTTAGTTGTATCAAAATAAAAATAATTTTTCTGAAAAATATTTTATTTAAATTAAAATCAGAAAGCCTGTCTCATATAGGTTGAATACATATCAATAGCATCATATACATTTATGAAGTGGGACTGTGATGAAATTGGAAATGACACCCATGATCCTTCACTTTTAAAGACTAGCGGGTTATAACCTCTAAGATCCTCGGAAGAGAAGACAGTGCACCAACAGAGACTTTAGAAGCAATTCTGACTCCCAGCCCATGTCACTGAAGACTTTCAGGAAGGACTGATTTTCTAAACAGAGAATTAAGTAACACTGGAACGTGGTGCTGAAACACCACAAGCTCTGATCTCCTCATGGCCTCACTGCTGAGGACTCCCCCGCACCCGTGAAGGACACTAGTGACCCGGTCCCCAGGGCACCCACCCGGAACAGGAGGATGGTCCATGGTGTGGGAACACAGCCACCATGACTCACCCTGATGTCCCCAGTGAGACAAAGGGACGTTGGGAGAGTGCCACTTTGTACATCCTCCTGATGTTTCATTCCCATCTCATCTTTTGACACGCTACAAAAGGTAGAAACCCAGGCCAGGCTCTAGAGAACACCTGCAGATATCTCCGCAGCCCAGTGACCTTCTAGATCAAGGCATTTAGATACATAAACATAGGTCTGAGACCACAGTGCTGATTTGCAAGTATCACAGAGATATACAAGAACTGCTGTTTATTTCCTATTCACCTAGATGCTACTTAGCGCCAACAGATTCTACTTTTTAGACAAGAGCTCACACTAAGTGACAGTACTGGAAACACTATAAGCACACAGGGTAATGCACTAAAAGCTAACCAGCTTAGAAAAATCAGCATAAAATAATGCGTGCAATGTATCATTTCACAAGTGTGTTCACTGATTTCACTTTGATTTGATATGTACCTTCACTTGGCTTTCACTTGAGCGTATGTAATGTACTTATTAGACAAGAGGCCCTCATTCCATCTGCCTCCTGAAGTAGCGCCCTGTAATTCCAGAATTGCTGACTGCTGAGACAAAAAGGGCCCAGGGCCATGTGAGAGCAGGGGGGTCACCAGATACCATCTTCATCTTCCGCCTCCTCACGGAGTAAGAACCGTGGTTGGCAAGAATGGACACCACTTTCACTCATGCTGGGATCTACGGTCTAAGGTGGACACCAACCATGGACCTGAGTATCCATGTGGCACAGTGGTGGAGTCCACTGTCAATCATCACGTCTTGACCAGTCAGTGACTAAGATGGCAACTGCCAACAGAACCTCACCCCCTGGACTCTTGGTCAGTATGCACAGAGGTGAAAGTCCTTGAGTACAGCAAATATTTAAAATTCAAAAAGATAGGGACAGTATCTACCCAAGTTAGAATCAAGCTTCCTGCAGTGGGCCAGACAGCTCTAACTTTAGGTCTGATCTCTAGTGGTAGATCAATCATGTCCCCAGTTACATTAATCAAGATGCTTTCATCAAATCACCCTAATCATTTTTTTATTTTAGTAAAGGCAGAACTCTAAAAATAAATCCTCCCCAACAAAATTTTAGAAAATATAACAAAACTGTTATCAGAAACATAAAATTCACTCTGCTTTTGAACCAACACTAACCTTCTGTTCCAAAAGCAATGTGTTTGTAGGGATTGCTGCAAAAACCTTGTAGCTGGACTTGGTCTTGTATTGCTAGAATGGGCAACCAGAAAGCAAGAGTGGAAATGAAAAAGAAGAACACGGTATCATTTTAGACAGTTCTACCTAGTTAATGACACGCTCTCAAACAAGAAAAGAGCAGTTATGCTTCAGCAGTTTGTTTCTGACAAAAAAATTAGCTCACCATGTTAATATTTTATTAGAGTGAGAGTCAAAGACACACCACAGTAAAATATCAGCCTAGACATCAGAGGCAATTATATGCTACCTAGTTTCAAAACCTAAAAACATCCACTTCTACAGAGTCATACATAAATTTCTCATTAACTGCACACCCTCACAGGAAAACTAGTTTATAAATGAAAGAGGGTGGGTTTTTTTTTGTCATCCTCAAAGGAGTATTTCTTTTTGTAGTGTCATAATCAACAAAGATCATGCCAAACAGTTTAACTGATCTCCTGATACACTTTTGCATCATTCATAAAAACAGAGCTCAAAATACATAAAATTTAGCAGTTTTTTAACAAGCAGTAAATGTCAATAATCTTAATACAAACTCTCAGTAATTTAGATCCATATCAGGAAAATGAGCACAAGCTCCTGATTTTAAGCTCCTTTATAACTTCATCATTATCTCTTGCATTCTCCAATACAATGATACTAATAAAGTAAATAATAAAACTTCCAGAATTTTAAGTAAAACTCAGGAATAGAGTTCAGTGTTAAGGATTATTTGGGGGAAAGATAAGCATAAGGACATTGTAGAAATCAGACTAAAATGCATAATCAGAGTTTCAACATTACTCTTGGTCTCAAGCTGATTAAGCAAGTTCAAGGTTCCAAGCACAGCCCTTGCTTTAGGCAGCTTCCCCAGTGACTGCGGGCAAGCAGGGGAACTGGCACAGAATTTCAGGCTGGCTCCATTCCTTGGAAAGGAAACCAAAGGATATCCCAAAGAGGACAGCTTGGTCAAACAAAATTAAACCTCGAGCTTTATGAATGTGGGTGTGAGGAGATTTAGAGGCTGACACACTCATCTTCCCAGGAAGAAGCTGAAGTAGAAAGAAGTCAAAGTGCCAAACCCAGAGGAAAAAAGTCAGCATCTACCTAGAAGTGGACCATATTCTCTTTTTACTTTTCTTTGTCTCTCTGGCTACGGTGTTAGATAAAACAGCAGTCTCAGCTATGAAAGTCAGCAGGTAACATAGAACGCCATCTTAGTTTGATAGTCACACAACAGACATGCTCACTTATATACACTCCCAACTATGTTCATATGCACACACTCACCAATTCACATGCCCTCACATACACACACACGTAAACACACTTGGCAAAACTTGCACAAGATCTCAGAAGCCACACGTTTTCCCCAAATTACCTATCTTCTATCTTTTCTCCTCCAAACAGCCCCCACCCTCCCGGGAAGCAGCACTGAGACCTGCAACTCTCTCTGCTCTTCCAGCTCCTACGGTGCTCTGCTGCTCAGGGCAATTACTGGACAAAACCTCCACCCTTCCCAGCCCTCCTCTTCTCCCTCACCTCTGCAGCGCTAGCGTCTCCAGACAAGAATGTGTCTGGATCAGGATTTTGAACAAAATGCTGCATCTTTGTGGGTAAGGAGCTGACATCATTAGGCAAACTACATACACTGCTTCATTTAATTTTACATTAGGGGAATCCTGCATGATACCACTACACAAGCGTAATTTTACATCAGGAAAAGCAGGGTTCAAGCAATGTGCCCAAGACTTTGGATATTGTCTTCACCCAATTCCATCGTATCAGATTTGCTTAGGTTTGTCGTTTTTACCTCCGTTCATGTCATACACTAACAACCCAGAGCTCTTGTTCCTAGGTTCTGCCAATCTGGTAGAGATTAATGTATCCTGTAAATCTACTCAGATATGCCCAGTTCAAACAATGGATTCATTCAAAGTATTTACTGAGTAGCTACTATATGACACATGCTAGTCTTCTAAGACATGTCTACCCTTTGTTCTACAGTCTGAAAAGTATGCTTATGGTCACAAAGGTACTTTTTGGATTCACTGTCTTTCCTCTAAGTTATCTTAACAATATTGCTGAGTCCAAACATAGTAGGTTTTATCCTAATTTAGAACATATTTTTTTTTTAGCATTCCAAGGTTCCTAGATACCAAACCAAGTATATTAGTTTCCCTCCTTGGTTTAAAACTGTGAATAGCTCTACCCAAGGCACTTCTGTATGACCTGAACAGCAGCCTGCGGAATCACCTGGAGTCACCGCCGGGCGATCACAGAGGGCAGGAGTGACCAGGCTGAAGCTGACTCTGGCAGGCAGTGCCACGTCTCCTGTAACTCTGCGATGTATCGGCTGCGCTTTCAGGTGAGATTCAGTAAATACTTCCCAACTAGTCCCTACCCAGGGCCAGGCACACTCTAGATTTAGGGATTCAGGTTTGAAAGGAAAATAACATTTTGATGAGAATGGAGGATTTCAACACAGCTGAATAGAGAAGGAGCCATGTCAGAGAGACTAGAAAAAAACAACTAAAAAACACTCCTAGAGGAAGAGACGTACACCCTGATGCAAAACATCAGTGTGAAAAAGGAGACCTGCAGATCCAACAAAGGACATGCAAAGGAGTTTAGGAAAAGGGCGAAGCACTGGGAGGTGCGCACGGGCCGCAGCCCCTGCCTGACTCAGGCCCGCCTTTCCACGCTCCCAAGAAGCTGGCAGCAGCAGACGGGAGTCAAGCCCCACAGGACAGACTTGGGGCACGCAGCCCCTTGCCTCACTGTCCGCCTCCAGATGGGACACTGCAGCCTGGCAGCAGTTTTCATGGGCACACACCAGGGGCGAGTGACCACAGAGCTGCTCCCTCCTCCGAGCACCCATTCATTCTCAGACTCTGAGCAGATGAACAAGCACCGCTGCCTCTGTTAGGAGTCTTGGCTATGGGACCCTGAGCACACCAGAGTCACCCAAAGAAACCGGAACACCACTGGCGCACAGCAGAAACACTCGTCTGGTTTCAGCCTGTGCTCAGCACTCCAGGCTCCCCAGAGCCCACAGTGAGGCTCTGACCCAATCCTAGATCCACCAGACTCTGACACCCTACTCGAGTCCTCGAGGAACCAGGCTTTATACAGGGTGTTCAAGGCACAGCACAAGCTCCATCCTGCAGTCAGCGGGGGCTGAGTGACTCCAGTGCATCGGAGGACACAGCTGCACAGAGCCAAACTGGCGGGGATGCCACAGTAGGAATGCGCTAGAGCTTGACCTTTGGCCACAGGACAGTCCCGCGGTCACTTCACTGCCAGGTTCCCAGCGCGGACGAGGGAAGCACTGTCACAGGAGATGCCGGAGGTGAGAGAACAGACCAGGTGGAGTTCAGCCGGAAGGCAGAGGCTGGGTGACCACCGACTTGGCTCCTGCAGCCCAAAGCCAGCGTCAGCCTGAGCCACACGTGACCGCGTGCTCTACTGGGCGGTATGACGCGGGCAGGTCACTATGCCCAGCACCATTTGGGCGCGGGCTGCCAGCACGAACCAAGACGCGTCCTGTCCAGAGCTCTGTGCCTCAGCACAGGCCTGCGAGGGCAGCCACAGGTCCAACTCAGCCAAACGTTTCCTTTTCCTAGTCTTTATTTGATTGTAGTATTTTTTCATTTTTTATTTTTATTGTATTTTTAAATACTTTAGTTTTTATTATTTTCTTCATTTTTTTTTTTTACTTTTTGCTGCTTTCTCTACATTTTCGCACACGCTTTTATCCTGCTATTGTACACTATTCTCTGCTATTGGTGCTGTGCCTACTCTTACTTTTCTTTTTCTCCTCCTCCCAGTAGAGTCCAGAGAGGGTGGGAAATTCTCCGCTGCTCACGTCCATCCTCCCCTACCCTTGCGCATGTCTCTTCACCTAACCCCATTCTCCCGTATCTTACTCATTCTCAACTCTTCTCTTCTCTCCGCCTTGCCGATTGTTTCTCTTAAGCTTTTTCTGTAATACTTATACCAAACATACTCTTTGCCCATTTCCTTTTATCACCATCAATTTTGTACAGTTTTCCTTGTTATCCCTTTCTAAATATATAAAACATCATACAATCAGTAGGACCGTTTGCCCCCCATTCTTCCTTTCCATACCACACAGCAGAGAACTTAATTTTTTTTCCTTTTTTTCTATTTCTCTTCTCTCCCCTTCCCCTTGGCATTCCTCAATTCGCCAACTCCCTGGACGTTAGATAACTGATTCTATAAAATTACTGTTGAACGATGTTCTCCACCAGTAAGGGAGGCACGGATATCACACTTAGTGCACGTTGGTGGCGAGGCAAGCCTGGAGTCATTACGACGCTCACACTACAGCATGTATTTCTTCTCTAGGCAAAAGGGAGACATGAGGCAGCGCCTCAGGGTGTGTTATTTCTCAACCAGCCCTGACAGATTCCACCGCACTGGGTCAGCCTGTTTCTGCTGTAGCTGCACTGATTCCATAGGGGTAAGCCTGACTCAGTGGACCGTTGAGTGCCAAATCCATCATCACACCCAGGGGGAGGGACAGCAAGACTTCCTAACCCAAGAATTTGGACTCGAATTCGGACTTGAACTCTGCAAGATGCCTGCAACCTGGAGGAAAGCAGTCCTGAGTCTGCGTTAGCGTCAGTATTGTGGTGGAGGGATCGGTGTAATGGAGTGGGAATTCTCAGCGTCTGGCAAAGAAGCTACCTGGGAATCACGAAAGCACTGTCTCACTGGAACATCCACTCTGTGTTCCCGTCAGACCGCTTATTGGGTTAGGTTTGTACGTGTTTCTTGATTTACGTAGTGACGTGGGGGTCACGTGATGTCTTCTGTGATTTCGTGTGCTTAGCAGGTTGTTGCTCTTGTATGTTTGTTTGTCCACTGGCTTGGATTTAGTGTCTACATTCTCCCCAACACCTCAGCTCTTCACCTACTATCCTCTCCTCAAACCCCCAAGACAATACTATTAACATATTTCTTTACTCTTTTTCTGAGCATGCCAACTCCTCCGAAATTCTTTACAC